TGAATGTGTGTTTGTTTGTTTCTCTTTCACATCGAAGCCAAGCAATGGATGTACACGACGTTTTTTAAGTTATATTATTGGATCAGTAGGATAGTGACCCGAAAATACATCGAATTTTCACAAGAAATTTTGATGCTTTTCCTTGACTACGCGAGCGAAACCAAGGGTAACAGCTAGTTATTAATAAAGTGAACGAGTGACATTGACACAAGGATGAACGGATGAGTACTATGTCACGGGTAACATTTTTTTGTGGTAACGCCTCCATAACTTTTATACTACAGATGACGCCATCAGTTTGACAAACCATTATATTTTCATTTATTTATTAAAAAAAGAGTTACAGTGAATATTTAAATTCACAAGGCACAAGGCCTATCAGATGGTGAGTGGTTACCGTCACTCATGGACGTCAGCATAGCCAGAGGCAGAGCCAAGCCACACCTGCCTTTCCAAACTGCTGCCTACCTAAGCTACCTACCCTTAACTATCATTAATTTATTACAAGTACATGAGTAATTATCGTAGACGTAACCTTTAAACAATAAGTTGCATTGTATGATTGTGTGTATTTTATTTATTAATATCTTACTTTAGTCCTGCGTATGGATTATAGCGGTTCGAATGTCAAGTCACGATTTAATTGTTGTATTATCATCCTTAGGGTCTGGTCACACTGCGACCGCGGTTGGCACTTTATTGTTCAATCAAGGAACTGGTTGATAGGATATTTTCTAGACCGGTATATTAAATTCGTAACGATGGGTATCAATCACCACCATTTTGTTATATTTTCTGGGTTTTTTTTTCAATATGCTAATCAGTCTCTTGCGAAGCTATTATTGCAGTGTCGAGTCGAAACCTTCAATTATTATTACGTCAATAGACAAACATATCGTACTTTGTTCTGTGAAAAATGAAATGACTCAGTTTAAAATCAATTTGATTTATCTTGAATTCTAATAAATAAAATGAAATAGTATGAAGTGAATATTATAGATAAGATGAAACGAAATAAAATAATGAACAGATCCGAAACGGTTAAAACCCAAATGTTTTTACACGTTTAAACAAAAAATCTCAAATATAATATAACAATTCACACAATTTCGATCGTTGTCGTTCAGAAGTTCCTTCCTGTTGTAGTTTGAGAGGTATAACAGATCTGTGTGTTTAGTGCGAGTTTTTTAACGTTTTCTTTTTTTTTTCCTACCTAACCTGATAGCCTTGAGAGTATATATCAGCGTCGCCTTAACTCTAGTCTCTAGTCTAGAGCAGTTGGAACAGCGCCCCTAGCCGCACACGTAGACAAACTTTCCCACTCCATACTAATTTGGGTTAACTTTTACGCTATCGAGAACGTTAAAAAGCTCGCACTAAGCACACTGAGCGCTGTATGAGTTTTGACGCCAGTATGGACAGAGCTGTACGCTTCGCATCCGGGTGAGGCCTGGTTTACCATTTAGGTACTTGGGCTTTCCGTTTAGATAACTGATCAAACTATTATGATAATTTATAATTGTATTGCTATTATACTCGATTTCTTTTAGAGTCGGCCGCAACAGATTCGTGCGATATTTTAGGGCTTACAATAAATTTCTTCTTTTTTCCTATCCCGACGTGCTTACTCTCTCTTTCTTTTAATTCTCTCATCAGCTCTCGTTTCTAGTATCTATTGCCTCAGACATACAACGCTAGTACAACCGTCATAATTAGATGTGCTACCGTATCCAAGTACACTTTCGTGGTAATCAAATGAATTTACACTGGCTGGATATATATGGATCAAGTATTGATGAAACTTTTAAAGTTAGTAAGTGTGGTAAATAACTGGAAAAAAACAGGGATACTAATATATTAATTGTATTATCTATGATCACAAGGATCGAGTTTACGTTGTACAAAAAAGCCATGGCTGTAAAGTCGGCTAGAAAAGTGATGGCTTCCGTCTTTTGGGATGCAGATGGGATCTTGATGATAGATTACCTTCCTAAAGGTCAAACGATTAATGGAGAATACTACGCTAATCTTCTAGACAATTTTCATCAGTGTATTCAGCAAAAACGACCAGATTTGGTGGGAAAAAAAATCATCTTTCGCCAAGACAACGCTAGGGTTCATTAAAGCTATGGCAAAAATCAACGAATTGAAGTAGGTATAATTTTTTTTTTTTATTACCTTTGTAGGCAGACGGGCATACGGCCCACCTGATGGTGAGTGGTTACCGTCGCCCATGGACTTCAGCAATGCCAGGGGCAGAGCCAAGCCGCTGCCTACCGCTGCTACCCCACCCACCTTATTCGCCTGATCTAGCGCCATCAGACTTCCACTTATTCCCTAAGCTCAAAACTTTTTGGGCGGACAGAAATTTGCCACAAATGATGAAGTCATAGCCGCTGTAGAGGAGTATTTTGCAGGCCCCGAAAGATATCATTTTATGGAAGGCATTACTGCTTTAGAACGAAGATGGAATAAGTGCATAGACGTTCACGGAGACTATGTCGAAAAATAAAATTAATTTTACCACGAAAAGTTGAGTGTTTTATTGTTAGGCTAGTTACTTATCATCCCGCCCTTGTAGTTAAGAGACTTATTTTTCATATTAATCTTGTTTTTTTTTTAATTGCTTGAAGGGCTGAACGCGCTCTCTGCCCGTACTACCTTTAGGTGGACCGTAAAATACCAAGCGAACTTCAACTCTAATTTTCGCGTCATAAAGTTCCTAAGTACCTATATTTGATGCCGTATACTTATATACGCTGTTACGGAAATGGGTTACGTTGAGGTTTTTCCGAAGTTTCACGAATTTTAAGTGCTTGCAGAAGTTAACAATTAAATATGTAAAGTTTTTATTTACATTTTAATTAGGCATTGTTACTTCAAGGTAAGTTAATCACGAGGCATAAAGATACTTAAGTACCTACGTTATGTACTTAAATTATTATTTTCCTTTATGTACAAAAATACAGAAAAAACTAATGAGGTTTTAATTAATCCTTGATGAAGTAACGGATCACTTGATAGACCAATTGAAATAATTACTTTTCATCACGTAATATTGATAGTTTGCGTTGCGTTGCGTTGGTAGGTATGCAATACTATATATACTCTTAAGCCTTAAAATTCTTTTTTGATTGTGTGAATTATAGAACCATTTACATTCTTGATCTCGCGGACCGAATTGAAAACAGTCGACGTCACCCAAAACACGTCATTTCGGATCCTTCCGATCCACTAACGGTGTTTTAGGTACCTCAAGCACCGGTTATCGTTCTCGTCGAACCCGTCGCTTGCGACGATAGACTCGACGAGTAAATTAACCCACAGACACAGCCCACTGAGTTTCTCGCCGGATCTTCTCAGTGGGTCGCGTTTCCGATCCGTTGGTAGATTCTGCGAAGCACGGTTTTGTAGGGTTCGTGTTAGCAACGTCGCGGCGTCGTCAGGTTTGAGCCCCGTAAACTCACCTACTAGTTAAGGTTACGCTGAAATAGCTTATCAGCATAGGTAGGAAATAAAAAAAGAACCATTTTCAAATACACAAGAAACTCCATCCCAGAAATTGTAATAAATTCTATCGTTTATCTTAGCACAAAACTAGTTAATTGATAAGAAGGTTTGACGATATATTAAATATGTAATAAAATAATACGAACAACACAGAGTTATATAAATGTGATTTGACATTTCACGTATCTGTGGAGTCCGCTCAAAGGACTCCGAACTGTGGAGAGGTTAATTTAAATAATACGTAGGTATAAAAGTGTCACTGACGAAACTTTGACTTAAAACAATTTAAAGCGTTTTATTGAATATTTATTCTTTGACTTTAAAAAGAAGGTTAGTGTCACGAAACCATTCAGCAAAGGGGAAATGATTAAGGAGAAGAATACTTCATAATTGTAGGACCTAGGACCTTCAGCTATATCTGACTTAACCTAAAAATATGTGATTTAAATTTTGAAGTAGCGTGTTGGTACTTTTTTCCAAGAAAAACCAACCAGGATTAATAAATGTAAATTTGTGGCTGAGTTTCACATTGTTTGCGTGGTTATAGTCGCCTCGCGAGCGTCTTATCAGCGCTCCGATGATAGCTACCTGCAGCCTTTCTGCTGGAGGAGTCGTCTAGACTGCCCAATAATGAAGCACTGGATCCAGTAGATAATGATTATGACAGGAATTTATTTTTATATGTTTCTTCATAATTAGCTTTTTTCATTTATGTATAATTTGGTTTAATTGCAAGCATTTAAATGGTCATTTTAACTATTTTTTTAATATTTTAATAATTCTATGTACACTTATTATTTGTAACGCCGTCGCTTTTGTTTCATATTTTTCATTTATCTCTATATATACCTAAAAATTAATTGCTGTTCGTTAGTCTCGCTAAAACTCGATAACGGCTGGACCGATTTGGCTAATTTTGGTCTTAAATTACTTGTGGAGGTCCAGAGAAGGTTTAAAATGTAGATAAATATGAAAATGCTCAGAACTAAAAAAACATAACAATTTTGTTTTTCCTTTGATGTGTCTCCCGTCGGACGGATTCCTTTTGTTTGTTTTAAGTTTATTTTATACAAAAGCTTAGGTCTTTTATTTATCGATTGAGGCACTACGAAGTCTGCCGGGTCAGCTAGTTTAATAATAAATGTATTAAATTAGTACCATGTTCTGTATTATGTAATACAGTAAAGAAATAATAATTAAATAAAACACTAAATCACTCTCAGAACTAGGATAAATTTAATGGAGTATTTAATGAAAATTCGGTTGCTTAAAGATACTTTGATAAAATACAATTTTTAAACTGGAATAGTTAAAGTGACCTCTATTATTATTTTAATAAACTATTACAAAACATTAAACCCATATCGCGTTATGACTCGACTCGACCAGGTCGAAGCTTGATGATTGTGTGTTTGATTGTCTAAATTAGCCGCTAGATGGCAATAAAACAAACAATGAAAAAAGTTAGATTTATTTATTCAAATAATTAAAATATCATCCATATTTTTTACAAAAAAATAATAATAATAATATATTCTATACAAAACAACTCATAGTATCAATTTACATTTAGGTCTAAGGTTTACAATTTTTCGTCCGGTCGGGGTCCACCGTAGGCGGTGGCGTGGCTTGTGGCGACGCCTCCTCGGCCTGTGCTGTATGCGTTGGCAACTGCGGTCGGGCCTCCGGGACCACCTGCGGCCCTACCTCCCCATCCGAAGAACATTGGGAAGAACGCGGATGTGGGCACTCTGGGTGGTGCGAAGTCGTCTTCTTCCTCGTCTTCCTCAAGAGGCCTCTTCGCCTGTTTCTTCTTATTAGCGACAGCCTTCTTCGCCTTGGGCTCCTCAACTTCGAGTACTTCCGGCTCTGGTAGTTCAGGAGCGGCAGGCGCTTCGGTAGCCTTGGCAACCGGTACCAGAGTGGTGGAGTACAGTTCGATCTTTTCAGTGGGGTCAGCCAGCTCGGTCGCTTGAGTGGGGCTGAAGATCGGGTTCTCTGGTTGCTGAGGGTAATAGACTTCGTTTTCTTGTTGCGGTACGTAGCTGGTATCGGCAAGGGTCTGGCGGCGACGATCAGGTATGTACACCTGGCCCGTTGAAGGCGCCTGTGCGGCTTCGGGCTGGCGGTACATGAACGCGGCCATGCCACCGCCCACAGCTCTGGGGTTGTAGTAAGGATTGTAGTAACGGCTCATAACCAAACCCCCTCGGTTACTGTCGCCCGAGCCGTAGGAAACTGTAAAGTTATTATAATGTCAGGAATGTCAGGCTTCAAACATTTCGAGTATCAAAATTTTCAACAAAAGCCCATAACTCTAAACATCTTAATTCATATGAATAAAGCACTGGCCTAAATATAATTTGACAAGTATCAAACATTTAAATTAATACTCACGGGAGTCCACGTTTCCATAGTAGGGATTGTAGGGATACGCTTGCACCAGTAGCGCGCAGCTCATCATCACGAAAGCGTACATCACCTTCATTATGATTTTTTAATTTGTTTTTGTTTTAACACTGTTTTAATACCCTTTGCTCGTCAAAGGGTGCTGAGTGGTATACTGCTATCGAGTTTGTGACGACTATGTTCCGAGTCCGCGTTATATAGTCGAGTCTGTCTGGACTCATTGGGATGCGAGTCATGCACGCCGCCTGCACCAGCGCGAACTTAGACAGTAATTTTACACTATTCGGCAGAGTTCTGCAACCGTTATGAGCAACTGGACATCCTAGTGTAGATCGGAGAATGCAAGACACGTAGGAAAATCATTAGGTGGGTGAACCGTTTGCTATTTGTTTTGACGATTTTATTTCACGCACAAAAATCTATTTTTCGTATAATACAAAAATGGATTTTTAATGATAGTTTAATTAAAAATATATATATATACATCGACGCTTGAAAGGCAAACGTGACTAAGCGACAATGCGTGAACTTTACAGTAGACTAATTTAAAGTTGAAATTAATTTAAAAATATACCTGAGAAATACCTGAAAAAAATTCTTATCTAACGAATCTAGCTGTAGGATTGCAATGATTTTAATAGACCTAAAAATATATTTTTTTTGCGCATCGAATATGGTTATTGCCTATAATTTATGTACAAAGCAGTTATTGTCGCTTAGTCACATTTGCCTTTCAAGCGTCGACATATATATTTGCCAAACTGTATCACATCGAGCTAATATTATCATTGGTTGCCTCTAGACGTAGACGTAATTAATGAAAATTATTATAATTTACGGTTTAAACTCGCTTTCTTTATATCGTTTCCGAAGTTTCCCAATACTCCACGGTTTTCCGTCGTCCCGTTACAGATTATAGTCCTCCGTGACCACGAAACTGTAAAGTTCTGTGTGTCGGAAATAATAAAATGCCATTAAAAAAACCGAGATTAAGCCGCAAAGTAATCTTAGCTGTGAATTTCTTACTAATTTATTATTTATCATCATAAAGTTCATTCGAAGCCTAAATATAGCGTAATGTTATATGTTCTAATGCATAATCGTGTGAATAAAACGATCGAAGTGTTATAAAAATATAAATCGTATTGCGTGTGGCGATCGCACATTATGCAGTCCAGAGACTCTCCCTGAATATTCAGACCCTACGTGGAATGATAAGGAGGTTCATTCATGACGATTTATATCCCGAGCGGTGTTTTTACTAGATTTTTAACAACTTCTCGGAACGAAGGGCTGGCTTGACGCAGGAAAATATTTACGACCTTTATTTAGTCCACAAGCAGGCGCTCGCCGATATTAAAACCGCTTAAGTGAATGTAAATTTGATATTGCGAACCTAAGAGTTTTTAGGCCGCCTATAATTTGGTTTTATATAGGTAATTCGAATAGTCTTTCGTTTATGAGTTCCGTGATATTGAAAAAAAAAAACAAAATTGCTTTAGTGCTCCCTTCTTTGTGGATTTGTTTTTTTTTTTCATTTGGTAATTAAGTGTAAGGTGCATTCATATAATTTAAATTAATATATAAATCTACAGTGGTTTTTACGGATGTTCCGTTATAACTACTGAACCATACATCTGATTGACTTGAAACTTGGTATCCATGTAGAAAATACATATACTTAATGGATAGGCTAATATTTATATGAGTGTTGGACTCCCTACGTCAGTTGCGGGGGCGTTAATGATGATAATCTTTGTGGGGGTGAGAAATATTTTTTTTTTCTTTTTTTTGTCAGGAGGAAATCGCCGGACTCCCACCCTCCACTGGGGATGGAGGGTGGGGCATGTCGGAGTTGAACCGACTAAAACCTCCTGTCGCTCAACAACCAACGTCCAATCCTCGCATGAGATAGAACTCATGAAAAGGCAAGGGGAGGAGAGTGAAGCGTTTAGTGCGGAGCACATCTCTCCCATCACCCTCCCCCTCGGGACGCCGGGCCAGCGATCGTCGGCGCCACGACCACCAGCCCTCTCGGTCGGCAGGCTGTCCGAAGCCCGCCTAGATGGCGCCGGTTTGAATAGGTTATCCTACGAAATACCCCGCTGGGTCAGAACCAGCATAGGTCGAGGATAGCCGGCCTTCCATCACCCGGATGGTGAGATATAATAATGTTAATTTTAANAAGAGTTTTTTACTCTGGTGTAGTTAGGAGTAGTTGTGATCACCTTATGAAGATTTACGGGTTGATATTCGACTGGAATTCCAAAAACTTGTCCACTTGGTGTAGCAATGGAAGTTATGCATATGACGTTTGTTTTTCCATCCGCCATTGATTTCATTGTAAAATCAAATCTTAATTTCTCCATTTTCTCAATATATTACAAAAATGTTGTTTTATAATGGTAATTACGGTGTTTAAATAAGAAAAGACGAAATTGCGTTTCTTCTAAACAACAAGAAACAACATTTAATGCCCTTTCTTCAATAATTCTATAACACACATTTCACAACGTCCATTAACCGAAAAATTATTTAAACAACTATCAATTGTCATATGACAGATTGACATTCAATCATTCATTACATATATTTGCCAAACTGTATCACATCGAGCTAATATTATCATTGGTTGCCTCTAGACGTAGACGTAATTAATGAAAATTAATTTACGGTTTAAACACGCTTTCTTTATATAGTTTCCGACGTTTCCCAATACTTTACGGTTTTCCGTCGTCCTGTTACAGATGACAGTCCTCCGTGACCACGAAACTGTAAAGTTCTGTATGTCGGAAATAAAAAAAAAGGCATTAAAAAAACCGACATTAAACCGCAAAGTAATCTTAGCTGTGAACTGACTAATTTATAATTTACTAGCGACCCGCCCTCGCTTCGCTTCGGAAACATTAAAACACACATGAAACCAAAAAATAAATAAAAAAAAGTAGCCTATGTTCATCAGGGACAATGTCGGCTTCTAATGGAAAAAGAATTTTTCAAATCGGTCCAGTAGTTTCGGAGCCTATTCGAAACAAACAAACAAACAAATCTTTCCTCTTTATAATATTATTATTATAGTATAGATCAACAATAAAGTTCATTCGAAGCCTAAATATAGCGTAATGTTGATATGGTCTAATGCATAACCGTGTGAATAAAACGATCAAAGTGTTATAAAAATATAAATCGTATTGCGTGTGGCGATCGCACATTATGCAGTCCAGAGACTCTCCCTGAATATTCAGACCCTACGTGGAATGATAAGGAGGTTCATTCATGACGATTTATATCCCGAGCGGTGTTTTTACTAGATTTTTAACAACTTCTCGGAACGAAGGGCTGGCTTGATGCAGGAAAATATTTACGACCTTTATTTAGTCCACAAGCAGGCGCTCGCCGATATTAAAACCGCTTAAGTGAATGTAAATTTGATATTGCGTAAGAGGTTTAGGCCGCCTTTAATTTGGTTTTACATAATTCGAATAGTCTTTCGTTTATGAGTTCCGTGAAATTGAAAAAAAAAACAAAATTGCTTTAGTGCTCCCTCCTTTGTGGTTTTTTTTTTTTCATTTGGTAATTAAGTATAAGGTGCATTCATATAATTTAAACTAACATATAAATCTACAGTGGTTTTTACGGATGTTCCGTTATAACTACTGAACCATACATCTGATTGACTTGAAACTTGGTATCCATTTAGAAAATACATATACTTAATGGATAGGCTAATATTTATATGAGTGTTGGACTCCCTACGTCAGTTGCGGAGGCGTTAATGATAATAACCTTTGTGGGGGTGAGAAATAATAATGTTAATTTTAAATGTGCATCGAAGTGGACGGTTACACAGCTAGTAGTTTATAAAGCAAACAGTGTTGTTTTAATAGAGCGTGTTGGGTGTATGTATATGTATTGCCTTTTTTTTGTATTTCGTTTCTCTTTCGTTCCAATTTTAAGGTAACTTTGACAGACTTAGATGAACTCCGTAAGCTTCACCACGAGGTGAATAAATTCTAGTTTTTAAATTAAGAAAGAAAACAAAAAAATCAAGATATATCATTCTGCCTGCGTGTTTTTGTGCACTTGACATCTTCGAACCGTCAACTCATGGACGAATAGGCTTTGACATTGTTAATGACTAGGATTCAATAAAAGGGAAAGTCTGTCTCAATGTTGGTATGTTTATTTACTAAAAACTACAGGCGAAAATTCTTGCTTGGGTTGCACGGAACGCTTTTAAAAGAGAGATGTGTCACCAGCGGCTTGTGCTCAGGACCACGCGCGTGGTCACAAACTCTCCCACGCATCGTGCTGCCGCATCGCTCAATATCTTAGCAGCATCTGCTCTCGATACGACTCGATGTCCAAAGATGGTTTGCAAGTGATATGTAACTATTACTTAAGCTAACAATAATTACATACATTGTTTTGTGATTTGACTGTTGTTAGAGATTAAATAAACAAAAACGAATATTTTTTCTTCAGTAAATGGAATATCGTCCCTGTTCACAAGACGGAAGGTAAAGACCATATAATCTTACTCTCTCTATGGTAAAGACTCAACCGGTGTGTTGAAGCGCATATTATTATGGTCTAGGGAACTGCGGCCAAGAGAATTAGGTCCTAGCGGTTTGGGTGTAGCGGCACCGCTCAAAGAAGTGAAGAAATATATATTTATCTCTTTCTCTCTCTTCCATCCCTTTCTCAAAAAAATGAAGATTATGTCTTACGGTCTCAATTTTGACAATTAAATAGAGTTGATATCGGTGAATATATTTTTTAAATCATATACCTATTTTGGATCTTCTTTTTTTGTACTGATTCTCAATGATGTTATATGTCTAGTCCGATTCCTATACAGATTTCGTGGTACCCTCTAACTCATATCCAGTTGATTAGTTAAGGCTCCTTTTCAGTGTATTTCTTGATGTGGACGCCTAGGTACATTACAATTATTCCATAGACAGTTTATATTTCGTACACGGCAAACATTCAAATTAAATTATAGCATTTCGATAGTCATCTTTTTAGGTACCTACATCATTACGGTCACTAAAAACAGAACCTTGAACATAAATACACCTAAATTGGTCGTATACGTCAGTTATGCCTGTTTACACGTCCCGGTATATATCTTTTGGATTTATGCCGGAAACA